CATCTTTAGCTATAGAGGATCAGTCAATCATGTTACTTCAGATAGAAGAAGTCAGTTCACTTTCAAATTTTGGAAGGCCTTGTTGCATTTCTTCCTCACGTCATCCGAAGTCCAGTGGAGAATCTGAGGTTAACCAACTGTTGCAGCAATATTTAAGATGCTACATTTCATATCAGCAAGACAACTGGACTGATATCTTTTGCTGAATTTGCTTACAACAATGCAGCACACTCCTCTATCGGTATGTCCCCGTTTCAGGCAACTTACAGATTCCACCCACAGGTCTTGCCAACAACCAGACAAGAAGGCGCTTCTCATGCCACAGATTTCCTGTATGAGAGGCAAGTGACCCAGAGCTGCTTAAAGGAGCAGCTGGAACTAGCAAAGGCCATATACAAAAAAGCAGATGCACACAGACAAAAGGAAGCTAAAATTGCAGAAGGGGATTTGGTGTGGCTTTGTACAAAATGTTTGACTTCGAGGCCTCCTAAGAAAGTCGACTCGAAATTTATTGGCCCCTTCCCAGTAATTAAACCCAGTAGCATTCCAGGTGCAGTTGCCAGCATCAATGAAGGTTCAGCCTGTATTCCATTGGTCTTTTCCTAGTGAAAGAGGCATCCCCCTGCACTCTGCATTCACAGGCAGCATCCCCCCCCATACAGGGAGGAAGAGCACGAGGTGGAGGCAGTGCTAGACTCTAGATGCAGAGGGAAGCGGATTGAATACCTGATCCACCGGAAAGGCTACCCAGAGTTAGAGAAGTCATAGGAGGCAGCCACAGATATGTATGTGCTGCAATTGGCGCACCACTTTCACAACCAATACCATAACAAAACCTGTCCTCGGCAACTGCAGGCCTTGTAGGAGTTTGGTGCTGACCAAAATGGACAAGAGGTGTTCTTTTATGGGGTGGAGGGCACCACAGGGATAACAAGAGACCAAGTAGGGGTCAGGGAAAGTGACCCAGCTCCTTCCACTTTAGGCATACAGGACATGGGAGGGCAATAGTTTCCTGATCAGGGGGCAGCATTCATTTCTACAGGCGCAGTTGGGTTGCAGGATGCCTCGTGATCTTAGGGAGCTACTAGCAGAAGAGGGGAGCAACACAGCTGCACTTTGTTTTCATAGCCTGTGGTCAGTTTCCCCTGTGAACTCAGGAGGGGAGGGTGATGTAATGGTATGTGGGAATGACCTTGGGAGACAGTGCAAAGAGACGCAGCCAAGGGATAGATAAAAGGCAGCTGAGCCTGCAGCAGGAATGTGGGTGGGGCAAGAGGCTCAGGAGAGACCCTCCTTAGTTTTGGGGCTGTAAAAGGGAGCAGGGAAGAGAAGTACTTTCAGACTTGCAAGATTCTGTTAACATGGCATTACAATAAAGTAGAATTAGCTCATCTGGTCATATTTCCTGTCTGGTCTACTTAGTAAGGGTAACACCATCTCTAACTTGCCACTCCCTGCTCTGGTCCCTAGATGTGCCACGCTCTCTGCTTGGGGAGTTCCTGCCTGCAAAGGTGCCATGTGGTCCAGGCCTGCCCAAGGAAAGGCACCACTGCTCATGATCCCCATGGTGAAGTTTGACGAAGGTGGCTGGGACTTTGGCAGGAGAGGCTTTGCAGGGCCTTGATCATAGGAGAGGCCGCATTTCCCAGACCGGGCTGGGGCTGGGGCTGGGGTTGGGCTGGGTGGGGAGGAAAGGGGAGGGAGGCAAAAGTGATAACGAAGGTGAGCTGAGGGCAGTGGAATACAGTGGCCATCTCAGCCATGCTGTGCAGGGCAGCCAAAAGGGTAGAGATGTGGGGGGAGATGAAGCGGAGGCAGTTTGCACAGGGCAGGAGAAGTGTGAGGTCCTGGCCTAGCGACCGCAACCTGGACTGCCGTGACTACTGTTACTAAGCCACGTGGTCACGTAATGTTTTACTTAACAGCTGCTTTGCTTAGCAGTGGAAATCCCAGTCATAATTAGGGTCATAACCCAGGGACTACTTGTAGTCCTTGTTTAGCAACTGGCTTGGACAGCAACCATTTGTAGTTACGATGGTGATGAAAAAGTAACCTTGTATTTACAACTTTTTCAGGTCTGTAAAGCAAAGGAAAGCTGAAGTAAGATCTAAGCAGGTGTGGTTTCACTTAGTGACTAAGTTGCCAATCCCAATTGTTGTTGTTAAATGAGGACTACCTGTACTTGTTTCTTGCCAGCTGTAAATTAATTCATTTAAGCTTTAGAAATGGATTACAGATTTACAGTGCATTCAGAAAGCATTCAGACCCCCTTCACTTTTTTCAGTTTTGTTATGTTGCAGCCTGATACTACAATCCTTCACATTCATTTTTTTTCTCATTAATCTACACTCAGTACCCCATAATGATAAAGTGAAAACAGAATTTTAGCAATGTCTGTAAATTTATTAAAAAGGAAAAACTGAAATATCACATTGGCATAAGTATTCAGGCCCTTTGCAACACTTAGCAATGTCTGTAAATTTATTAAAAAGGAAAAACTGAAATATCACATTGGCATAAGTATTCAGGCCCTTTGCAACACTTGAAATTTAGCTCAGGTGCCTTCCATTTATCTTGATCATTGCTGAGCTGTTTCTGCACTTTGATTGGAGTCCACGTGTGGTAAATTAAATTGATTGGACATGATTTGGAAAGGCGCACACCTCTCTATAGAAGGCCTCAGAGCTGACCATGCATACTGTACCAGAGCAAAAGCCATGAGATCAAAGGAACTGCCTGCAGAGATCAGAAACAGGATTATTGCAAGGCACAGATCTGGGGAAGGGTACAAAAAAATGTCTGCTGCACTGAAGGTTTCCAAGAGCACAGTGGCCTCCATAATTCTCCAGTGGAAGAAGTTTGACACAAACAGGACTCTTCCAAGAGCTGGTCGTCCGGCCAAACTGAGCAAATGGGGGAGAAGAGCCATAGTAAAAGAGGTGAGCAAGAACCTGATGGTCACTCTGACTGAGCTCCAGAGATCCTGTGTGGAGATGGGACAAAGTTCCAGAAGGACAACCATCACTGCAGCCCTCCATCTAATCTGGGCTTTACGGCAGAGTGGCTAGACGGAAGCTTCTCCTCAGTGCAAAACACATGAAAGCCCGCTTGGAGTTTGCAAAAAAGCACCTGAAGGAACAAGATTCTCTGGTCTGATGAAACCAAGATTGAACTGTTTGGCCTCAATTCTAAACGTTATGTCTGGAGGAAACCAGGCACCGCTCGTCACCTGCCCAATACCATCCCAACAGTGAATCATGCTGTGGGGGTGTTTTTCAGCAGCAAGGACTGGGAGACTGGTCAGGGTTGAGGGAAAGCTGAATGGAGCAAAGGGCAGAGATATCCTCAATGAAAACCTGTTCTACAGTGCTCAGGACCACACATTGGGCCGAAGGTTCACCTTCCAACATTACAACGATCCTAAGCACACAGCCAAGCCAACACAGGAATGGCTTAGGGGCAACTCTGTGAATGTCCTAGAGTGGCCCAGCCAGAGCCCTTGACTTGAACTAATTGAAAATCTCTGTGGGGC